GCATTTCCCATATTATTAAAATATTCTTAAAAACGTGTGTGTTTTATGTGTTCCATGTGACATATACGTTAACAATACAAAGACTGAACAGGACATCAAAAACCAAGATGCTTTGCTGGGCCCTCACACATGTGATCATTAAAGTCCTGTGGTGGGCCTGGGGCCGGAAATGCTTCCAGCTTTCAGCTTCCAGCTGGGGAATCCACAGCCCAGAGGTGGGAAGGAACTTGGGGTGCTTATGATCACAGGCTTGGGTACCGTTTATCAGCTGTGTGACCTTGAGCGCAACAGTGACTAAGATTTATTAGGCCTGAAGGTCACATCAGTATTGGGGTCCTCCTTAAGGAAAAGAAGAAAAACTTTACTCTTGAAAATGTTACTAAAACATGTGATCCTGCACCTAAATTGCCCTGAATCCCTCCCAGGGCCATGAAAGGGCCCGAAAGCTTGAGCTTCACCTGCTTCAAGGCAAATCTGCCTCTGGGCAAGCGACTTAACTTCCCTTCATCTGCAAAATGGGGCCAAGAGAAGTACTGACTTCAGTGGTTTGGAGGCTTACACAAGATAGCGCGTTGTAAAGCATTTGGTAAGCTGCCTGGCGCACACCGGGTGCTTGATAAATACCTCCTGTGATTACTCAAAGTCAGGGAGTTGTGGCTGGAGTCATTTGAGCTGCTTCCCAGAGATGGTTGTTCACATGCATACTTAAGAAAATTATACCTGGAGCCTTTTCAGCCTGGCTCGCTCATTCATTTAATAAACACCGATCAAGTTCCTACCAGATACCACGCGCCACACGAGGTACAAGTCTCAATGAATTCTCCCACCTCGTTTCTGAAAGCACAACACAAACGTCCCCGCCTCTGGGAAGCCTTCCCCGGAGTCCAGGCAGACTCACTACTGCCTGGGTAGTCATCCCCTGCTGCCTAACCAGCTTTGGACATGAACAGGGTTCCAGGGGAAAGGACCTCCCCACCCCCGCTGTGTTCATTTCTGTATCATCAGCACTTTCCCGGGTGCTTATAATAAAGTATGTAGATACTCAGTAACGTGAAGTGAGTTGACCGAAAGTGTGCTTGTTTTCCCATGAGGACTGTAGCTGCTTTTGCCAGCTCTTCAGTTTGCAGAAGTAAGCAAGATGTGTGCAAAACGGTTCGAGTCCTCTGGAAGCAAGTACGAGGTAGGCTCACTGTTAATCTTGGTTGTTGTGAGTGACTTTACTTTTTCTTATTTTATGACATTCTCTATTATGTTACCAAACCACACTCCTCAAGCTTCTCTCTTTTGCTAAAATAATAATAATAATAATAATAATAATTATATGGCCACATCGGGTAAGTCCTTAGGGAACATGTCCCGTATCAGGAAAAGTATTTAAGCGCTGGGGTCCTAAAAGAGCCTGGGAAAGTCTAGCCAAAAACTATGGAGTTGGGTTGTATTATCTACTTAGAAACAGAACTGGACTTTGCAAGTTTTATCATGTCTAGGCTTATTAAAGCCATTCATTGAGAATTTTTCCAGATTGTTACTTTTATAATAGCATTCAAGTGTCAGAAAATACCCTGACCAGTCAGCACTGGATACAGGTCGAGAAGATAAGAAGTGGCTGCAGGTAAAGCACCAATCTACCCACACGTTTGCATAGTACTTTGTAATTTACACTGAGTTCGCTTTCACCATCATTATCCCTCTGCTAAAACAACCCCCTGAGGTAGGAGGGAAGCTGGATACTGGCCTCTACACAGGACAGGAACACCGAAGCAGGGCTCGACTGGGAATCCACTCTGTCAAAGGTGCTACCTGGCCACCTGCTACCATGACCACCACCCTCCCGCCCAGACTCTTGGGAGGGCCCTCAGTCTTGTGGGTGTCTTCAGAAAACGATCCCATCTTTGCATCGGTTTTCCCGAAGCATTCCGGTCTATGGAGTGTGACCCAGGCTACAAGGAATGTCATGGGCACCTGGGGGTTAGCAGCTTTTCAGGAAGTCCCAGGACCAGAGTTTTAGCTCATCCTCCATGTGGGCTTCAATGTGTGATTTCACCAGGTATGTGTAATTATGGACAGTTCCTGCCTTCATGATCCAGTAGGGGAAAAAGACACCTGTCACCTCAGCAAAGTGTCACCTTCACCTTCCTGGGACTGACCCAAGGACCACGGGGACTCTGAAGCATGCAGTCCTCTAAACAAATTTCTGATTTAAGCCATCTGAAATCCCAGCACTGCAGATGGCAGGGGGGAGGATGTGTGCAGTCCTGTTCCCTAGCACAAGCAACCCCAGGAGGAGGGCCCCCATTTACCTGTGTCCAGGCCTCCCCAGCAGTGACCTCTGGGCAACAACTTTACTTCCATCCTGTTATCTGAAAAAAGAAACCTCAGTTGGCCCAATTGGGAGGCTAATACATTCCTAGAAACAGAGCGGAGAGGCCAGCAACAAGCCTGTTGTGTTGGCAAGATGCAATGGCCAGGCCTTTGGAGTGCTTTTCCTGCCTGCCCTCCTTATTTACAGGCCCCGACTGAGGCGCCTGGACCAGCCAGGACCCTCTCCTCCCAGAACCTCCATCCTCAAGGCACTCCCTCCTCATTCACAGATTAGTGGGACTTGAGTCCATAAACCAGGTCAAAAAACACAAGAATTCTCCACTGGAGTTCTAGCGGGTGGCTCTCTCGGAGGACTTATAGCACCCTCCCCCACCCCATCCATCATTCCCTTTGAAGAAACACACACCCAGAGTCAGGGAAGCTGACATAAACATCCTGAGGAAATAACCACTCTAAGTGGCTTCGAAGCCTCATTTCCCCAAGGAAATAATCAGCACCTCTTCCCCAAGACAGCTCCAGGTGAGCAAGAAGGGAACACCTTCCTGTTCTCCAAAGTAAAGGCGTTTGCCTAACTGCCTGATTACCGAGCGCGCTCGCGTCTACTGTCACAGTCAATTCTCCGAACCCACGAGGTGGCCAGGGCAGGTACGATTTCCCCCATTTTACGCAGGGCACACCGAGGCCCGGGCGCTCGCTCTCTTCCCGGGGTCACGCAGGGAGCAAGCACCGGGGAGCCTCTGCCTGCGCGCCCCGAGCTCACCCCGCGTAACCTCCAGGTCCCCCGAGTGAGCCCGTCCGCGCGGCGGCGGCCACATGGCCCCATTGTCCCGGGCGGGCGTCCCGCCGGGCGGACGCCGGCGCTCTCGGCAAACCGCAGCCACGGCCGCCTTGCGGAGCGGCCCGGCTGGCCGGGCGCGGGGGCGCGGCGAGCCCGGGGGCGCCGGGAACAAAGGAGAGGAGCACGCGCGGGGCCCGAGGGGGCATCGGACCGGGTGGCGGCGCCGCGGGGCCGAGCGCAGGGGGACGGGGCGGCGGCGTGCCCCGGCCCGGCCCTCAAAGCCTCCTTTCTTCTCGCGCGCTCGTAGGCGGCTCCGGGAGATCCGGGAGGGGGCGCAGCTCGCCGTCCCCGCCGGCCGGTCCGGGCGCGCCCTCCCTCCGCCGCCAACCCCACCCCGAGAAGCGCACAAAGAGCGGCGGGGCAGCGGGCGCACACCTCCCGTCGGGGCGGGGCCGCGGGAGGGGCCGGCGCGCGCTGCGCCGCGCCCGCCTTAAAGGGCCCGCCCGCTCCCCGCGCGCACCGCGCATGCCCGACCGCGGGGCGGGGAGGGACGGGACGGCGGCGCGCGCACGCCCGCGCCGCCCGCGCCGCCCGCCGGAGCCATGGCTGGCGTCCCCGCGGTGGCGGCGCGGCGCTCGTGCACGAGTCAGCGCCCGCGGGGTTTCGGCAGGCGCGCGGGGCCTGTGCAGGACCCCAGCGCCGCACATTCCGGAGGTCGCTGGCCGCAGGGTGGGCCAGGCCCGCGCTGCGGCGGGGTTCTGGCTGGCCCCGCCGCAGTTTTAGGGCCAGTTGGACAAAGTGCTGCCCGAGAGGGGCAGAGCTGTGGGCGCGCGCGCGCGCGCGCGGAGCGATGCGGGCGGGCCTATGCCTTTGTGTCTCCTGCGCTCCCGCGCAGGTGGGGCAGTCCGCGCCAGGAGCCACTTTGCCCGTGCGCACCGGGACCTCGAGTCCCGCTTTTCCCAGTCCGAGGGCTCGGACCGCCCTGTTGGGCAGACAATAGACCCTTCTCCCAGGGGCCCCGTGAGCTCTAGGAGTGGTCTATTTGGGGACGCTAACGGGACTTTCTCAGGACCGCTCTCTTAGAGCCGGGCCGCTGGCCTCAGAGTTGGGCGCGTTTTCTCTTCTCCATCAGGCGAGGGAGGAGAGCTGGGGACAGACTGTCCTCGGCCGATAGGTACGCGCGAGTGTCCCGAGCCTGCCGGTCCCGCATTAGACAACAAAGAGAGGCGTTAGCGGCGGCGGGGGAGGGGCGCGGCCGCGAGGAGGACGGGGCGGGCTGCGGCGGGCGCGGGGGTGGGGGGCGCTCGCTCTCGGCTCGCCCTGACCGCGGCCTCCGCCCGCCCCCGGCCCGGCGCGCGCCAATCGCCTCCCCCAGCGATAGTGTCAGTAGCATTGTAGTGTCAGCTCCCGCCGGTGACGTTGCGCCTCCCTCGTCCCCCTCCGGAGCCGTCTGGCTGCAGAGGCTCAGTCAAGAGGCGGGGAGGAGAGGAGGAAAAAGCGCTGAGTGAGGGCGGGCGGGCGGGAGGGAGGGAGTGGAGGAGCCGGGGAGGGGCTCCTTAAAGAAACGCTGCTGTCGCTCGCCTGCTCGCTTCTCGCTCGGCATTGTGGCCAGCCAGCCGGGCACTCGGGGGGCACGCGCGGCTGCCGCTCGAGCTCTGCCCCCACCCCACCCGGCGGCAGATCTGGGGTGGGGACCCAGGCGGGGGCTCCTGCAGCCACTGCCCGGCGCGGACCGCACCGAGCGACCCACTCCTCCCGGCGCCGAGAAAGGAGCAACGGAGCCCTCTGCAGCCTGCCGGCCTCCCCGCCCCTGACCACTCGCTTCCCGGCTGCCTTTGTGGCCGCAGCTTCTCGCCGCCGAGGCGAGGGCCGGCGGGGGCGCGGCGCGCACGGCCGAGCGATGCCCAGCTCCCTGTTTGCAGACCTGGAGCGCAACGGCAGCGGCGGCGGAGGGGGAGGCGGCGGTGGCGGCGGCAGCGGCGGCGGCGGCGGCGGCGGCGGCGGCGGGGGAGAGACCCTGGATGACCAAAGAGCCCTGCAGCTCGCGCTCGATCAGCTCTCCCTGCTGGGGCTGGACAGTGACGAGGGCGCCTCTCTGTACGACAGTGAGCCGCGCAAGAAGAGCGTGAACATGACCGAGTGCGTGCCGGTGCCCAGTTCCGAGCACGTCGCCGAGATCGTGGGGCGGCAAGGTGGGTCTGGCGGAGATGGGGAGCTGGAGGGGAGAGGGTCTCGGACCACCGCCCCGCGGGGAGGGCGCGAGAGGGTTCGGGATCCGCGGCGCCCGCGAGCCTTAAGGAGAGAGGAAGAGCCGCGCGAGGGGCCGGCGCCCCAGACAAAGAAAGTGCAGGCAGGCTGTCTCCCGGAGCCGCGCCGCTGCCACGGCGGGATGCACTTTATCCTGCTAAAATCACTGCCTTCTCCCCTAGCGCCCCCCACCCAGCCCACCCCGGGAAATAGAATTTAAATATAAGATGCTTGGGGGAGGGGGCCTTTGATCGGTCCTTTGGGAGGGGGAGGAGGAGGAGTGAGCATCGGATGGGAGGAGGATTCTGGATTTCTGCAAAGCGGAATGGAGCCCAGAGGAGGAACAATGGGTCCCGGGACTGCCCCCCTTCCCCTCAGTCCCCCAGTTCTGGGGGGATCGCGGCTCCGTCCCTCTTCCCCGAACCCCTTCGCCGCGTCTTCAGGGCGGACGGCGCGCCCCGCTGGATCCTAGCGGCATCTCCCCGGCTGACTTTTTCTGGGATTCTCGGGTTTGCTCGGGACGACTGCAGTCACTGGGGGAGGGCTGGGCAGCCAATGGGCTGTTCCTCGAGCGCCTCGCGGGTGGAACCCGCTTTCCAGCCCGTGGCGTGGCCCAGGGTCAGTGAGGGAGCCGCCCCCTTTCCGCCCAAAGCGTGTCCTGCCGTCCCGCAGCCCTGGACGCGGGCGGTCCCAGGTCTCCGCGGTTACCCCGGGATAATGGGCGTGTCTGTCTCTCTCTCCCACTCCCTCCCCTGAACCCTGGCTCTCAGGTTGTAAAATCAAAGCGCTGCGGGCGAAGACCAATACTTACATCAAGACCCCGGTTCGCGGGGAGGAGCCTGTCTTTGTTGTGACGGGCAGGAAGGAGGATGTGGCCATGGCTCGGAGGGAGATCATCTCTGCCGCGGAGCACTTCTCCATGATCCGCGCCTCGCGGAATAAGAACACGGCGCTCAACGGAGCAGTGCCGGGGCCGCCCAACCTGCCCGGACAGACCACTATCCAGGTGCGGGTGCCCTATCGCGTGGTGGGGCTCGTGGTGGGGCCCAAGGGCGCCACGATCAAGCGCATCCAACAACAGACGCACACGTACATCGTGACGCCCAGCCGCGACAAGGAGCCGGTGTTCGAGGTGACCGGCATGCCTGAGAACGTAGACCGAGCTCGCGAAGAGATCGAGGCGCACATCGCCCTGCGCACCGGCGGTATCATCGAGCTCACAGATGAGAACGACTTCCACGCTAACGGCACGGATGTGGGCTTTGAGCTGCATCACGGGTCCGGCGGGTCCGGCCCAGGCAGCCTCTGGAGCAAGCCCACCCCCAGCATCACGCCCACCCCCGGCCGCAAGCCCTTCTCTAGCTACCGCAACGACAGCTCCAGCTCCCTTGGCAGCGCCTCCACGGACTCTTACTTCGGCGGGGGGACCAGCGGCAGCACAGCCGCCACCCCGCGCCTGGCGGACTACAGCCCCCCCAGCCCCGCGCTCAGCTTTGCCCACAATGGAAACAACAACAACAACGGCAACGGATACACCTACGCGGCGGGGGAAGCTTCCGTGCCTTCCCCCGACGGCTGTCCCGAGCTGCAGCCCACCTTCGACCCGGCTCCCGCTCCCCCGCCGGGGGCGCCGCTGCTCTGGGCTCAGTTCGAGCGCTCCCCCGGAGGCGGACCTGCAGCGCCGGTGTCCTCTTCCTGCTCGTCCTCCGCGTCTTCGTCCGCCTCGTCGTCCTCGGTGGTCTTCCCCGGCGCCGGCGCGCCCTCCAATGCCAACCTGGGGCTGCTGGTGCACCGCCGGCTGCACCCGGGCGCGAGCTGCCCGCGCCTGTCCCCGCCCTTGCACATGGCGCCGGGGGCGGGCGAGCACCACCTGGCTCGCCGGGTGCGCAGCGACCCGGGCGGAGGCGGCCTGACCTACGCCGCCTATGCCAACGGGCTGGGGGCGCAGCTGCCCGGCCTGCAGCCGTCGGACACCTCCGGCTCCTCGTCGTCGTCCAGCTCCTCCTCCAGCTCGTCGTCGTCGTCGTCGGGGTTGCGGCGGAAGGGCAGCCGCGACTGCTCCGTGTGCTTCGAGAGCGAAGTGATCGCCGCGCTGGTGCCCTGCGGCCACAACCTCTTCTGCATGGAGTGCGCCAACCGCATCTGCGAGAAGAGCGAGCCCGAGTGCCCGGTCTGCCACACCGCGGTCACTCAGGCCATCCGCATCTTTTCCTGAAGCCAGCGCGCGCCTGCGCGCACCCCACGGGGGCAGGGAGGCCCCCTCCCCTTCCCTCCAGCCTCAGCACCCCCCCCAGTCCCGCGCCCGCCCGCCGGACGCCGTGGTGCCCCACTTTCTCCTCCCCCACCCCTGCTCACACTCTGAGATCCCAGAGGAGCTTGGAAAGCTGTAGTATCCGCTCGTTTTTTTTTTTTTTAATTTTAATTTTTAAACAAAGGAACTTGCCAGGATACCTGCATCAAGAGTACTATAGCCTGGGAAACCCCCGAAACCACCTGAAATGCATGCTCTATAAATAATAGGAACGGCGACATTCTAGTAATGATAGTTTTTACACTGTACTTCATAGGAAGCTTCCAAAAGAAGAAAACCCCACAAGTTTTCCATTTTCTTAAAGTAGGAAAAAAAATGAACAATAATTATTATGATGAAGATGATAATAATAGTGCTTATGGGATGTGTGGACTGTTTTAGTGTGTTCCCCTTTGTGGCTGGGTTCCTACGATGCTTATTATAGAACACAGTGGATCCTTTTTGAATGTTGTGGAAGGGCCAGGATACTGCAGCTTTATAAAAAGTTAAACTGTAACATATCTCTTATATATTAAAAACGTTTAAAAGTTTTAAAGAGAAATTGCATTAATACAGATTGAAGTATTTTATTCTTTTTTGACTTGAAAAATTATATTTCATATTGCAAAGATGTTTACAAGTATTTTAATTTAAGTTCAGTGAACTTTTTTGTAGCTGGGTTAAATCTTTTTATTTTAGTATGGCCTTATGGCAAAGAACACTGTATTATTTTAATAACCACACAATTGTGACGGAATTACAAAACCATAAAATGTGTAATGTTTTGAACAGTATTCTGTTGGGATGGAGATTTTATAGGTTCAGACAAATCTTCTAGAAATGCTTCACCCAGCATATTTTCTATTCAGTGATATAAAGCATATTTTATTCTATATTATTACAAAAAAAAACACGGAAATGTATAAACATGTCAAAAGGAACTGTTGATGCTTTCTAACATTTGTATAAATAGAATTCAGTGCAAGCTACAAAAATTCTGTTGGGCCACTATAGTTTTAGTATTTCTATTTTAATACATTTGTTTACCACTTGTTTATGTATATGTAGGTGATGTTACTTGAGCTTAAATGTACTTTACTGAGCAAAGTTTAAAAAACAAAGTATATTTTATTTTATGATAAAGGGCCTTTAACCTCATGGTCAAATACTAATATTATATTTGCTGAGACAAGATTTGAAATTGTATCAAGAGTTTTATTTTTCTGACATTTAAAGTTCTACATAATAAAGGTAAAACTTAAGTAATGGTGCTACTTCATTTTTTAAGTATTTCTATATAAATAAAATATTGAAGAAAATCTATCTTGTGTGCTGAGTTGGTTTTGTTTTTTGTTTTAAGCCCTTTGGAGTCCACCTGTGTAAGTCACTCTTAAGAGACGAGTGAAAATGTATATACGTCCCAGGCATTTTATGTCAGTATTTTATCTATAGAATGGGCTTTCAGGATAGGCCAGAGTTGTGTTGAGGTGGATGTATAGACCGTGGGTAACAGTATTTTTTAAAAATTGCACATTCCTACTGAATCAGGGCTGGCTTCTCCCTGAGACACAGTGGGCCCAGTGCCTAGGACTCATGATACCTCCCGGTGGGGGGTAGGAGGGGGGCTGGAAAATGTTTAATTTCTTTTAAAATTAGAAGAAAAAACCCAAAGGAAATGAAATTATTCAAAGGAAATGTTTTAATTTTTCAGGTCCACAAGAACCTATTAATTAAAGTCTGCCTGAAACACTAAGAGAATAAAATATTAAAGTATTTAAAATTATATCAAAAATCAATTCTAATATCAACATTATTATGCAGGAAGAAACCCAGGAAAAGGAAAAGTGCCTGGGGTCCAGCAAAGTTAGGATTCCACCCAGCGGGGCCCCTTAGGAGTAGAGGGGGCCTAAGGGCTGTGCCTGCTGGTTTAAGTTTCCACTGAGGGTCACTTCCTTGGGGGAAGCCACGCGATGACCATTTCTGCTTGCAGAGGACCTAGCTGGATTTCAGAATCGGGTCTTAAGAGGCTTCTGCTGGGACGGCAGGCTAATTGGTGTTGACAGGCTGAGGGTGTTAACTGTTTGTTGTTGTTTGAGGGAAGTTTTTGTTTGCTTTTGGCAGGCCACACCTGTTCCCTGGCTGTGGGGTTTTGTCAAGTGATGGAGCCACGTGCTTTCACTTGACCTGAACTCGTCTTCTAGAGAGTATTTAGAAATGACCAGAGCATGCCACTGAATTTCCAGCAAACTTTCCAGCTGAGCTGACCCTGGAGAGCAGTGTCTGCCCGGAATGTGGCAGGCTTTTGTTTTAATCTGTGCTGATGGGTAGCATTTAGCAGGTGAGTCCAAACAGTGGGCTTACAACCTATATTGGTGGTGGTTCCTCTTTTCCTTTTGTATTAATTTTTGTTTGTCCAGAAATTTAGTCACATTGTAGCTCCTGATTTGTTTGGTTTAAATGCTGCCGTGCAAAGGCAGGAGGCTGGAATTTGGGGTGGGAAGGGAAAAAGGAGTGGCCCGACTTGGGAAATTTCTGGCATCATCTCCAACTCTGGAACGTTCCCAGACGGCGTTTACCCCCTTTCTTCTCCCTCAAGGACTGGAGGTTGGCCGAGGCCTGGCGAGCCACGATATTGTAGTCCAATTTCACCTTTCCTGTTAGCCATTCGGAAATGCTTAGAACAGAACCGGGATCCTTTTTACACTTACTTCTTTAGCAATGTAACTTTGCTTTTCTGCTTTAGCAGAATGATTACAGAGAAGGCAAGCAAAAAACAAAAGCCTTGACTTGAGTTTCTCATGGGCTCTTACACGGAGAGAGATTTTGTGGTCCATATGCTACTTTGGGGGAAAAAAAAAGATCAGATCTTGAGGCTGCTGACATCCCCTTGGATGGCCTGTATGTCTTTGCAGTGAGAGGTTCCGTTTGTTGACATGAAGTTTGGGGATGTATTATTAATAAACGTCGGTTTCTTAGGAGAAAGAGACTTCTTTCTTTTAAACTGCTGGTTTTCCCCGCAGGGCAGACCCTTGTCACCAGCACAGGACGTAGAAAATGCTAGTGGTATTGGACGGCATTAGCTTTTGATCCAAGGCACGCCTTCTGTCCCGTTCCCCAGATCCCCCAAATGACAAGAGTGGAGGTGGCCACTGGCTGTGGAGGTGACAGCCCTCCTGCTGGAGAGGTGAGAGATGCCGCATTCATGCCCTGAGACTGTCACCACCGTCCCTTTCTGCTTTTATACCCCTCCAAAATCTTTCTGCAGCAACAAAATGCTGGGGAACTGACATCTCCCCCACCCCCGCACTCATTTCTTTATGTACACTAGTAGTATTCAACTGGGGGTGACTTTGCACCCCCCCAATTTAGGCAGTCTCTGGGGACATTTTTGGGTATGACAACTGAGGTTAGTGCTCCTGGTGTCTAGGGGGTAGTGGCCAGGGATGCTCTTAAACATCCTACAAGGCACAGCAAGGAATTATGCTGCCCAAGGTTTGAGAAACCCCGATGTAGACAAAGCAAATGTATCTTCCCTGCTGTTTGTTCGCTGCAGTGAAGTTGGTGATATTCTTCTGACGTTTAAATGCATAAAGATTGACCCTCAGCCATGTTCTGGGATTATCTACTCCCCAGGTAGCCTCAGGGATATCAGGAATATGGTGGGGGAGGCCACGGCTGATGCATGGGCCGGGCGGGTGGGGGGGGGGGCGCGCAGAATTAAAGAACTCCTCTATTCACCAAAGAGGGGTAGATTGCACCCGATTAATAGTGATACTGCTTACATGGAATGTTCCCAGCACTTTCTCTCCCATTCTCTCCCGTGCTCCTTACCACGAGCCATGCGGGAGGCACCACTGACGTTTTACTGGGCCTGAGTTTGCAAATACTCAAAATGCAGTCCGGTGCAAACACAAACCTGGGTTTTTTCACTCCGGCTTGTGCCCTTCCTGCCTTGTCAGGCTGAAATCATTTTGTGGAGAATTCTGGGCATGGATCTGGTGCCAACAGCTCTTCCCCTTTCCCTATTTCCCGGGTCCCCCTCATCCTGCCACAGTTGGCTCTTGGGAAAAGGTTCCTTATCGTCAGTGGCTTTCAGAGGTGAGGTGAGCCAGAGATGTTATCTCTGAAGCCTTATCTTTCCAGGGATTATGGACAAATTTGCCCTCCCCTCCAGGGGGTCTTGAGCCTGCAGGCCAGTGGGGTGCTGGTAGTAGCTGTCCTGAAAGCTTAATGGGGACAAGGTAGCTTGGGAAGAGGTAGAATTTGTATTGGCTTCCATTACTCTCACCTTCAGAACATCGTTCCCTTGTTGGCTCGGGAACAAGGGCCCTTCTAATGCTGAGTGTTGCCCACTGTTTGCCTTCCCACCTCCCCTGAATCCAGTCAAAACCTGACCTTGCCACCACCGATGATGCTTAAGGTGCTAAAGACTCTCCCTCACTGTTAAAGCCCCCCTACTTTCCAGGAAGGAGAAAGTGGGGCGGGGGAGTTAGGCATCCCTTACATGATTGTGACAGTTTATCGAGCCGTCTTGTGCTCACGTGGCCCAACAGGGTGGGTATGAGTAAACCCATTTCAAAGACAAGGAGACTGAGCTATTGAGCAGTTAAACGACCTACCTAAGGCCACACAGTCAGTAAACACTGGACTAGGATTCCACCCTGGGCCTATCTGAATCCAAAGCTCCTATCTTGACCGCTTCAGAAAAATGGCTTTTATGGGAGGTTATTTTCAGAAAAAGTGAGCATTCATTCATCACACAGTAGTCAAGCATGGCAATGATGATGGTTCTTTCTTATTGATAAGTGTAATTGATCTGAAAGATGGAGCCAGGGCCTGGCTGCCATCGCGACTCCAGGCCACACACGCATGCTGCTGAGGGGAACCAAGAACACGAAGATCGCCGTATTGTGCACAAGGACCTT